ACACAAAGTTGGTGTCCTGTGAAATGGAACTTGCAGGATGCACAGACGCACTGCAGAGAGGAATAACGTGCAAAGACGAGAGACTAACGATGTGGGCAAAAGAAACGAAAAATTGTGGCGTGCTGCTGCATGTGTGTGCATGTGTGTAGCGTGTCTGCGTTAACATATACACGTATCTTTGTAATTACTCTGCTTCTGTTGGGGAGAGGCGGGAATCGGTACCCCAAATGCAGGTCATATCGGTCCAAGCAGACCGCGAACTCGTCGGGGAGAAACGGTCTCCTAGTTCCCTGCGTCCCCTCCCCACAGGTAACATACACACATTTGCCCCGGACCTGGACCTCCCCTGCATACCACCACCTAGTACCATCTAGTTTTAGAAAGAATTGACACAGAAATCGTTATTGTGAGTTGAAATACCTGTTAATCCATATAGAAGAAAGGTTTCCATTTAGTGAAGACAGATACTGGAATAAACCTGGTAGAAGGCTCAGATAATTAGGACATACGGTGCTGGGGGATATATAATAATATCACCGCAATTCTTTTTAACCAAGCCTCTCCCCTATAGGGGGAAGTAAATAATCCAGGAAGGTGAACTGTAACACAAATCAGCCAACTGTCACATAAATCTCCTTCTTTAATTTTACAAAACTTAAGAGAGAAACCATTCAGGTTACTACAAAGAAATCTTTAAAATGAGCTCATTAAATGCAAATTAAAACAGAAACACTGAATAAGCGCTGGGCCACAATTAAAGGCTGAAGAAACAGCAGGTAAGAAACAATTCTCATTGATCAAAGAACTAAAAGCTAACAGAATAGAGTATTCTGCATTGAAACTGCTTTCATGAATATGAAGCATTTCGAAGTAAGGAGTTTTTTTTTTTTTTCTCTCATTTTTCAAAGAAGCTTTGGAGGTAGAAATGGATCTGCATATCTTAACACAAAGTACTTCCATTGTATCATTTTCAAGCAATGAAGCTATGAGGTTTCAAAAAAATGTGGACTTCAAAAAAATCCTTAGAAATCGCTCCCAAAATTGAAAGGGGCAGAAGGTCATCATTTTAGAGCCTTTGGACCCAAAGAAAAACTGTACATAATTATACAAAATCGTCTATGCAAAGATTCAGTAGAATTTCTTTTATGACACAATTGTACCTCATGGTAAATAGCTTTCAGAGCCTGTCTTGAGTACTTCGACGTAGGGTCACTTTTTGTCTAAAAGTATTGAAAAGGCAAAGCAAGTACCAGTACACAGTACCTTCAACTAGAAATATAAACTCTGAGACTTTAAAATTCATCACATGTAAGTTTTAAAACATATAGATTTATAGGAAAATAGTAAAGTGAGAGTGTACACTCAAGATAGAAAGAGCATTGTTTTGGGTTTTTGGTTTTTTTTTTTTTCTATTTTATTCACTTGTGTATCCCTGGCACCTGGAGTGGCACTGGGCACACAGCAGGTGCTCAATTATTGCATCTGCTTTCATGAAAATAAAACAATATAAAATGAGAAGTGAGGGGAGGGGTTCCTTATAAATTCATTTTAAAAATTAAAATATACTGGTTTTCATTTATCATGAAGGCAAAACTTGAAATATTTTATGGGACACAAGGGAGAAATGGGAATTCTTATAAACACTGCCAGCAACGGCAGAGGCATCAAGAACAGTTGTGCAGTTGTGCACCGTTCAAGAGAACTAAACCTGAGCAGGGATGGAAAAAGGGAGGGAGAGAGTAAAAACCCAGTAGGTGTTCTCCTGAGAAGGTCAGTCTTGGGGAAGATGTCTTTTTGAAATTCTTCAATCCTGAGGAGCAAGGCAACGTTTGCTACCCTGTTGTATTGGATAGAAATGTAAAATAGGGTGACTTATTTTAGAAAAATTTAGAAATACCTACAAAAATTCGAAATCTACTAATCCTTTGACTAGAAAATCCACCCGGAAATTGTAATAAGATTTTTACTTTACATATTTGCTTACATATGCAAATAAAAAGATATGAACACAAACATTTCTGATGATAGCAATCTGTAAACCTAATGAATGCTCATTTATTGAAGAGTATTTGCATAATTCGTGTACATCCACAAAATAAAAGAGTAACAGGAATTACTGTGGGGTGGAGTTGTACAGGCAGACATGTATGTTTTCTAAGAGATATTAAGTTAAACAATGTACAGATGTGACTATGTTCTAATTATTATTTTTTTTAAATCAAAAATCTCTTTAAAGAGTAAGACACTGAATTTGAATTTCAATACTGGCAACATTATTGTATACATATGCGTTCATTTTAATATCTGATACTACTGAAATACCTAAATCCAGTTCCACAGGAGTTAGAATATACCGCAAATATCACTACTAAATTTCAATTTTAAACAAAAGGAATTGCTAATTTTTAAAAGGGTGAAATATATTTTTAATCGTGATGCCAAAAATTACATTTTTCTAAGTAGAATTTTCTTAGGCCTTTCAATTCCGTTTTACATTATCTTGATGTCCTTCTCCAAACTTCTCAAAGTCATCAACGCCAACTTCAACTAAACTATGTTTCTATGGCTGTCTGGGTCAGGGCATTTAACCTATTGGTCATAATCCAAGTGAGAAACAGGAGTACTTTTGAGACAGTCTCTGTGTCAAGAAGGAATCCTAGGTTTTAAGAATGTAAAAGAAAGTTTAATTCTACTGGCAGTAAGGTAACAGTCAATCTCCTTTATTCCTATTTTACCAAATTACCTCTTTTTGTTTTTCTTCAAAGTAAGCCAAGATTTAAATAAAGTGGAAAAGTACAATTTGTAGTAAAGAAGGTGTAGCAATTAAAGAGAGCATAGGAACGAAAGGGGCAAGTTGTGAGTACCACAATGTCTTTAACAGAAAAAAACAATCCCAGAAATATATTGATGTATATTTTGATCTCCAGCTTATCACTGGGTATAAAAGGCTCTAATACCTTTCCTGGTTCCAATTTTGGTCACAGAAACAGGAAACCCATTACTCCATGATATATTTTCAATTGCCTCCACTTTCACTTACCTTCAATACTCCAACACAACCAAATCCAAAATTGGCAATTAAGATTTTTATTAAAATGTGCCCACTGACCGAATTAGGCAATGCAACTAATTGTATAAAATAATTTACTGCATATTGTCCACATGGTTTTTACATGTGAGGGACTCTTCTTGGGAGGGGGCAGGGATTTCACTATTTATGTTGTGATACATATTTGTTTGCACTATGAAAAACCGTATCTGGAGTATGAGAAAAGCATCTTCTAAAATCCACTTTATATTCTCCATGTAATTACAAGTTACTAATAACTGTCTAATCTAATCATCAAATACAAAGATCATACTCTTTCCTTCTGTGTCCCTGGATCCCAAATAAACTAAACCGCCTAAACATAGCTCATCCTAACAAAGTTTTTATATAGTCATTTATTAGATAATAATTTGGATTTAAGTAATGATTTTTAGATCTTAAGTTCTTGTCTTTATATTGCTTTACTATAAATTTGTTTCTTTTAAAAGTATCCATGCACTAGATTAAATTGAATTAAAATAAGATTTGCACAATTGTCTTCAAAATGTAGACTTTTCCCCCTGTAAAATGCTGACATGATGGATTTTGAAAATTTTCTTCTACTTGGTTTTCTGAATCAGTTCAGAGTTGTGTTTACAAGTAGATTTTATGTAGCAGTCACCTAAAAAGGCTCAAAAAAGGTTCATAAAATTTTATATGAAAAATTTCTAAGAAAAATGTCTTAATTGGATGACTTTCAAAAGTCATTCATCAGAAGTCATACGTGCTCGAAAAGTAAGAAAAATTGGACAGCATCCTTAGGTTTTATCATTGCAGCAAAGACAGTGTCAGTTAACTGGCATGATTCTCCCAGCAAGTAGAATGTTTTACATTTTAACATTAATTTCCTAAATAAAAGACTTCAGACGAGCTTATCAGTGCATACAAACTTACATATTTTAAAAATCCACTTCTCATCTTTCTCGACAGACCACTTTTGACTTCAGATGTACTCGCCGTACTCAAAAGTATTTTGTAAGTGGCGCCCATCAAAAATAATCCCCAAAGAGGCTCACCAAATCTTCCATACACAATCTAGAGCAATCTCTGTCATAACAAATCCCCAAATAACAACGGTATCTAATCATACTGTGCATTAACTCTAATTTCAGAGATTACCGCTAAAAAAAACCAAAAACAAAACCCCCAAACCCAAAACCCACAACTTTGGCTTAACAACCCTGTAAGGGAGAAACTTTGCTAACCTTATACATCACAGTGTTTAAAAACAGTTAGAAGAACCATTTCCAAAGCTTTAATCACCGAAATGCACCTAGGTCACTTTGTGTTGAGTAATAAGAATTCATTCTGAAAAGAATTAATCCTTGTTATTGTTTCCTCTTAATTCTTTCATCTCAGACCTACAATGAGAGATTTAAAAGGAAAGACCGGAGGGAGCAAGACGTTTAAATCCATCCGCAGGGATTTCTTTTGAGCCTAGAGTTTAATGTTTCGCTAGGGTTTCCCCATAGAGAGTCCTACAGACGGTGGGTCCCAATCTGTTCCTAACTGGAAGACAGCTACCAAGGCGCCAGGAGGGACGGATACGCCGGGCGCACGAGAGGGGCCCGCACACCGACCCCCACAGGTCTGGCAGGGCAGTGCGCTCGCTGTGGGAACGCGCGACCCAGCCTTCACCTTGGGAGGTGCAGAGGCGCACACCAGGGTCCCCGGAGAAGTTGTCTCCAGCGGGAAGCCTGTCAAACCACGGGCGGGGTGGGGGCTTAGAACACACACACTTATTCTCCTGGTCCTCGGCGGGCACCGGGCAGCCCGCCGCGCGGGCTGAGCAGGGGCGGACACTGCCGCCCTGCCACTGACAGTTGACACCGGAGGACACCCTGGAGGTCCCCGTCCGCCGAGGCCCGGCGGGGCGGCGCAGAGAGGCTGTACCTGGCAGGCACCCACGTACCTATCATGGTCACTGGGCAGGTGGAGACTGCTAGGCACGCAGGAGCCTCCGCGCACACCGGCACCCGCCTGTGCCTCCCACCAGTGTGGCTCCGGGGGTAAGTCTTCCGGCACTTGCCTCCCCTGTGCCCGGCCTTCGGAATGCGCACGCGCCGACGGCGCGCACCAAGGGCCTTCTGGGAGTCGTAGTTTTACCGCGTAGTTTCTCCTCACCCCGCCCCTCTCCCTCCGGCCGCCGGCCGCGGTCCGCCGCCGGCCTTCCGCCGCCATTCGGGATTCAGGCCCAGGAAACGTACGTCACGGGGGAACTGGGCCATTCGGCCTTAGTGTTGACGCGTCGCTTAGCAACCGGGAGGCTTACCTTTGGAAGCTTGTTGCAGCTTTTGCCGCGGTCCTTCGCTCTTCCCGCCCCTCCCCTCCCCTCAACTCCCTTCACCTAGGAGCTGCCAAACATCTGGATCAACCTGGGCGCTACGAGGGGTTGAATTTCTACCAGTATCGCGCCTTTTTACATTTTTTTTTTTCCCGAACTCCTTCTCACATCCGTAAAACCCACTGCTTCTTTTACTACACGTTTTATGAGAACAAGACATTTTCTAGGAAGATGGTGGCAGAAAAAGAGACCCTGAGCTTAAACAAATGCCCAGACAAGATGCCGAAGAGGACCAAGCTGCTGGCACAACAGCCGCTCCCGGTGCACCAGCCTCACTCCCTGGTTTCTGAGGGCTTCACAGTCAAAGCCATGATGAAAAACTCAGTCGTAAGTGATCTTCTTGCATTGAATGCACTCGCTCCGAATCAGGGGACACCAGATTATAGATGCTGGCCGGCCCTGTGATGGATTCTGAATCTCTGTCCTGGGTGGTCTTTGGCAAAACTGGCAATTACTCTGCAGATGGTGCCCACCAGAGTGTGCAGGTCCAGGCTAAGTCGTCAGAAAGGATATCGGGCAAGTGAGGTACTATACCCATTGATAAGCACCTGCCTAATAACTCATGGTTTCTAGACCATCCAAAATTACTCTTAAACTATTTACACGGAAAAAAAAAAAAAAAAGACCCTCTTTCCCTCTTTGATTCCTAATCTAGCCCCACTCCTCAGCAAAGGACCTTATAGAAGGCGAGTTCTTAGAAATCATAAAGTCTTGCAAAATGTGACATGTGCTGACGTGCACCCAGAAACATAAACTCATTAAATCATCTACAATAAGAAATCTCATCAATTCAACCTAAGAAGTTTTAGCATATCCATACATTTACTTTAACAACCCTCTTTCTTACAAAATAATTTCAGCCTGTAAGAGCACTGATAGGCAATTTAATATGAAGTCTATTTCCAGATAGACCTTTTAAATGATAAATTTAAACAATCCAAGCTTCAGTTCAAGTATTTCTATTACTACAATTCATATTTAATTTCTATAATTGCTATAGTAAAAATATTCTCAATACTATTAGGGGAAAGAAAGGGTTTAAAATGCACACAAGTGAATTAGCTACATGCATGAAAGGTTTTAAAAAAACTTTCATACTTGTTAAGCAGCTTTAGATTTGGTATGCTAAGCCAGGTTTTACTATTGACAGACTAAGCAAGCCCCTGTCTAGGAATGAGATATTAATAATAAATGCAGCTTTCAAATTTGTATAATTTACACTCTGGGAGCATCTGACTTATTGTATAGCAGCTCACTATGTTAAATGAATAGTGTTGTTTTCCAGTATCACATTATCTCTTTTATACAAATGTTGGAAACCTAATACCTTATTCCTAAACTGCATCCTTAAAATACATGAACGAAACAGATTACCTCTAGATCCCTAGGTCAGATTGCCATATTAGTACACAAAATTATATTTAGCTTATTGGAATGTGTGTCACTTGATTTACAACAGGTAAAATTCATGAAAGTAGATTAAATAACCTGCCATCTTTTTTACATGTTTTTCCCATGAATAGGTGGTCATGGGAGTCCAGATGATTCATTTATCAGCAATATAGAATACGATCACCATTCAAGCTAATTAATTGTTTTTTCTTCTACACAGTATTTGTAATTATAATCTTGGTCGTTTTTTCTTTTTTATTTTTTTTACATTTTTAAAAAAAATTATTTTTGAGAGACAGAGAGAGACAGAGCATGAGCAAGGGAGGGTCAGAGAGAGAGAGACAGACAGACAGACAGAATCCGAAGCAGGCTCCAGGCTCTGAGCTGTCAGCACAGAGCCTGATGTGGGGCTCAAACCCAAGAACCATGAGATCATGACCTAAGCCAAAGTCTGATGCTCAACCGACTGAGCCACCCAGGCGCTTCGGTCATTTTTTTCAATGTTATATTTTTTCACAGACACATAAAAAATTGGTCATTTTCTCTTTTTTTTTCTAAATTTTTATTTATAATCATGTTTATTTTTTAACATAGCCTTATACCTAAAGTCATAGTTCCTGGAAAATTAAGTATTTCAGTATTGCCCAATATAGGAAATATGCTTATAAAACTAAAATAGCAAAAAAAAAATTGATTATGAAGAAGCCTTCTTTATAAACAACCTACATGAGTTAAATATCCTCTTATTTTGCATTTTTAGAGAAAATCTCTTAGTGTTATATCTGTATTTCCATTAAGAGCCTCAGAACAGGATGTGTCATTCTTTCTTTCACTTTATTTAGTGAGAAATTACAATTCATAAATGCAGATATTATCCACATATTCATTCATTCAACCAAAACTCCATCTCTTTTCCTTTTTATTTTATTTTATTTTATTTTATTTTGCTAAGCTAGGAACATTTGGGATCAGCAAAACAAAGTCCCTGTCCTTCGTCCTCCGAAGAAAACTACCACACAATAATAAAGGCTTGATAAAAGAAAGATACCGTTATAGAAAATAACTTCAGGGGTATAGGAAGTGAAACTTTTCATTTTTATCTCCAATATTTACCTTTCACCATTTCTGTCTTCAGCAATGTGAACCTTTTGGCATTAAAAAGTCAGAATACCCCTCTCTCTTTCTTAAGGTTTATTTCTATTCAGAAAATAACATGCCAGTCTCCAGCTTCTCTTGATTACAACTGCTGTCCAAGTGAGGACACCTATATCGTTTTTCTGGCATTGAGACTTCCCTTCAATTGCCTCTTTCAGAAACTTCCTAATTAAATGAGTCACCATTCCAGTGCTCCTCCACAAAAGATGTATGCAACTGCGCCCCAAAGAGGTCTATGGAGATTCCCAGTGTTTCTTTGAGAATGTTCTAGTAACATAAATATATACACTTGATCATAAACTGATTTGATCAGATGGGCTGTGCAAACAGAAATCCCTATCTGAACAGTCCTATTCTCTCTCTCTCTCTCTCTCTATATATATATATATATATATATATGAATAAAAAAATTTATAAAGTAATAATAAGCATAAATGGCTAGGTTTTTAAGACCCAATGTCAAATAAGCTTCTTCCTTTACTTCCCTGAAATTATTATTGCATTCTGTTTGAAAACAAGCAATGACAAAATTCCTGAAGTCAGAGACTAATATCAAATTCATCTTGTTATGTGTGCCTAAAAAGAGTGGTAGGAGATACAGAATTTGAAGATTTCATGTTCCATTTTCCCTGTAAAGGCCTTGTTTCATGGTATGTTGGAATCTATAGCCAGAAACCAGTAGTTCAGTGTTGTATTGGTTTAATCTCAAATGACAATAGATGCCTTCTGTGCTAATACACTTTATCATAAATCAAGTTAGGCTATAGGCCCCAGTTATGATTATACAGATTGACTTCAGCTTAAGCTTTATACTATAGCTTTCCTTTTCAACGGGCATATGTTTTATGTTCAAAGCTTAGGGGAATGGGAGAAATAATTCTTTAATGTTACATATGTAGAGACTTTTATACTTACCAATCATATATTCATTCAACACATAGTGGTAATGGTCAACATTTATACATTATATATTAAGGTATTGACTTGGCTGCTTTAACAGAGACCCAACAACAATAGTTTAACTAAAATGGAAGTTGTTTCTATTGCATAGAAAGGTCCAAGTTTGTTGGGCACTGCTTGTATATTGCTTTGTATCCTGTCGGTTGATGTCCTCGGTCAAGGTGGGGTCACCACCATCAGGGTCAAATCCCTACCCTCAAAAAGAAAGAAAGAAGCAGCAGCAGCAAGCTCCCTTTTGGAGGCCTGGCCCAGGCACCACACCACACTTTCATTCACATCCCACTGGCCAGAATTTGGTCATAGGCCTATACTTTCCCTTTCTACAAAAACCTATGAAAAACAGACCCTTGCAGGAACTCCCAGGCCCCCACACGTTCCATCGGGAAAGGGGCTAAGAAAGCTATATACCTACAAAAGGGCATAATGTCCAGCACCTACCTCAGGCATGGTGAGGGGGGTGGGGGAGCACCTGTAAGAAGAGGCAGGAAGAAATGGAGAGCAAGCAGCTTCATCAGAAATGTGTGTCCCAGAAGTTACACTTGTCACTTCTGCTCAAATCGGTTGCGAAAACTTACTTTTATGACTATATCCAGTTGTAAGAGAGGCTGGGAACTGTAGTCTCTGACTGGTAGCTCTATGTCTAGCTGAAACTTGAGGCATTTTATTACTGTAATAAGGGGAAAAAGGAATAGTAGCAGTGAGCGTGGTAATTAGAAGTGTCCACCGCCTTAGGGTGCCTGGGTGGCTCAGTCAGTTCAGCGTCTGCCTCTTGATCTTGGCTCAGGTCATGATCTCACGGTTCGTGGGTTCGAGTCCTGTGTCAGTCTCTCTCTCCCTCTCTTGGGATTCTCGCTCTCCCTCTCTCTGTCCCCCTCCCTCACCCGCTGTCTCTCTCTCTGTCTCTCAAAATAAATAAACTTAAAAAAAAAATGTAAACCAGCCGTGGTAAATATGTTCTATTGCTAGTGAAGAAAAGGAAATAAACAAGCAAAGTAATTGCAGGACATGTAAATACATGTCCGTCCGTGGTAAGGCTTAGAAATATTTGCTCAGCACGGTGGAAGTACTAACAATGAGAGGACCTCATCACCTTTTGTCTGGGCTTTTACAATATTCATCCAAACTGGTCTCTAGATTCCATCCACCATTTGGTTGTTTGCCTCAAGCGTCCATCAGTATTACGACATTCATCT